TTTACTATATACAATTTCGTCTGACATTTCCAGAGGAGGTAGTGTTGATGTACAATTATCAACGTATTAAGTGTTCGGTTATTTTATCAGACAGAAAGGTGACAGATTTTTCATATTAAAAAATAAACTTAATTATTATCAAGCTAACTAGAGCGTCAAATCACATTTAAGCGATGCTGAAAACAATCTTTCTAACTGGAATCGTATTGTTTTCTATATCCGTACTCATTTCAATTTACGAAATTCTTGTTCAAACTGTACTAGTATGAGTTTGTACAAGCAGATATTTGCCTATATGTAAATGTAAGCAATATGCACGTGATACTAATAAAAATGTTGAACAACACAGACTAAAAAGTATCTTACATAATCTACATAAAATAGTAGAAAATTTTTTGTGTATTGGATTTGTCGGAATGTAAAATTATCAGTCATTGCAAAAGGTTAATTTTGACAGCATTCTCTCAACAGTGTCCTTTTTCAGTTCCGTTAACTATTGTATATATTTCGAACTCATAATTTATCAAACAATCTCAGATACATGAGATTTCTTTTATTATACGTGAATATAAAGAATTTTAAACAAGCTACATGTAGGTACACTTTTTTTCCTAATTAAAAATATTTCTTACGTAGACTCTCTATTATGTTGACTTATATGACAAAAACGCTTTTAACTGCCTCAAAATAACAGCCTATAACAGATGTTTTATAACAGATGATTGTACTCGAAAACTAGAATAGTTTGAAAAAATAATGGCATAATACCCTTATATTCGTTATAACATGTTTTAGTGAAATGTAAGAAGCGAAAAGAAATAGGAGAATGCAGATGCTATTGTATGTTTTTTTTTTGATAAGAAGAAATTTTATTATTGTCTTACACCGTACAAGTATTGAAATGCTATAAGAAAACTATTGTTTTTTATAAGAATGCTACAGTCTACGGTAAAGGATATGATTGATGGATGTAAAAAAGAAATCATAATTGCTATAAACACGGTTGACGTAAAAATAATTAATGAGAAATGAATTTAATTTTTACCCTTTTATAAAGATATGAATTATTTCGAAAGAATATTGAATCAAATTAAACTATATATCTTATCATACCTGTGATCTATTTTGAGACTCAGTAGTGGGATGGATTAATATCTTTCCATCATTCTTCAACATAGAACTAAATCTTTACATTTTTAAATGTGGCTTTATTTACACACACACCGACACACATACAGAACGAAAAAGAAGAATTTTGAAGATCAAATATATATCATATAGCTGAAGTTTTTGTTTTTGAAGCAATTCAGTACGATTTATCGTTTTATGACTCTAATTGACAACGGCTCTTAATTCATATGCATACACAGAATGATAGATACAATAAAAAAAAGAAATTCTTGTTTTGTGCTCTCTACATTTCTTCCTTCCATCTGTGAGTTTCTTGTTTAAGCAACAAAATTTTTCCTTTTTTTTTCTCTCTCTCGTATTTTTCATGTTATTGTCAATCATAACTTATCTTAATGTTGGGGATCACCTGGAAATATATATGTAGAGTAGAGAGAGAGAGAAAATGACTGAATAAGTATTATATTCATAAGTAAAAATTTACATTATTGATTAATTTTCTTCTAAATGGTAAGGGTAAATGGTGATAGCTTTCTTTTTCAATATTTGTAGAAAAAAAATATTATGTCAATGAACAATTACATTTTTTCTGTTACCAATCTATCTGGTAATTGTTCCGTGGATAACATACGAATAAGTAAAAATGAATCTTCTTCGTTAATAAAATCAAAATGGTTTTTATTGTTGCCCTGTAGGTAAATTATTTTCTATTACATTTTAATACGTGATCAAGATAATATCTTATAACACGCACGATACCTGTGTTTTCCGTTTCTCTTGACTTTCTTTTTATAAATATGAGCACTCTCCTCTCAATTTGCACCAAGCAGAAAGAAAGATAGAAAAACTGAACTTGGTAGAATTAATGTCTCAAAACTTTTTTTCAGATAAAAGAGTTGATGTTAGAGAGATGTGTTAGAGAGACAAGACAATTGATTATGTAAGATTTTCTTTGATAAGTCATTGAATAAGAGACAAAGCCTGCTCTAAGTAAGTAAATACTGATTGAGAAAGATTGTTAAATGTTGAAGTAAAAACAATACTAAATTGAACGTTGAATTTTACCTATTCTACAGAAGTTCGAAAATGATTCATTATAGTAATACCTCATTTAATAGATATCAAATTTTTATCTTTGAGAATGAGACATCATATGTTAAAAATTCGCAGAACAGCTGAAAAAACAGAAAACATAGGCCGATCATAACTGCCACATATATAAAAGTTAAACTATATTCTCCAACAAAAAACGTTTTCTGCAAATCCAAAAAGGTTTTGGGTGGAAAATGAGGTAGATTTACGCATCAAATAATTAAACAAACATTCAATCAGTTATGCAAGAACATATCGAAAATTCTCATTAGAGAAACTGAATGATGTATCAACAACAATGCAATCAGAGCTAGCAATTGTTCTTCGTTAGGCAGTGGAAATAGGTTCTACTTTTGACAATTTTTCCCTCTAATTTTGAGTTCGTTGTTAGTCGCTTTTTTTAACTGACACTACGTTTGCTCGCCTTTAAGATTATAACTAGTCAATGAAACAGCGGTAGTCTGTGACTCATAAACTTCAATAATTATTCTTTTAGATAGAAAAGGCCCTGTTTAGATGGATTCAGATACAGAGGCTGAAAAACATACGTTTGTACAGAAAGTAGAAAACTCAACAACGATATCATTAAAGCAATTGTCCTCAGCAGCACGAGACTCAAAATCCTTGACTTTTCCATATGTCTAACTTTTTCTTTTTTTAACTTGTTGAGTGTTTCCTCTCACACTTTTCACTGATAAACATTCCTCTTTAGAAAAATGATTGTCACGTCTCGAAACTGCAGAATCGACACAAAGGTTCATCGAGGATTCACTGAGATATGGAAAAATAGATTTGTATCGCTTCTTCCCTTCAGAAACATACCATGAATTATATTCTTGTCTTTTGCCTTGTATTGTCTATTTTACTTATAACATGGAGAACGTTTGAATTAAATCATTCACATAAATTTTATGTTTCGTTAGCTAAAGAATTCAGTGTCGATGAAAAACATTTTTTTTTAAATATATTCTTTTTGAATATGTGAATTTGGCATATATTGGCTAACTAGAAGAATTTTTCTAGACTACGAGTCATATATCTATCAAGTAAGATGAAAGTTTATTTAGAGTAAGATGATCTATACATTTAATAATCAGTGTAGCGATGCTATACGCTTCAGTTAGTCTCATTCTGTCTTGCACAGGAAATGGCAGGAATTAATCTTTAGATTAATAAAATAAAATGAGGTTTTTCGTTGAAATACAGAAACGAAAAATAAGTTTTATATGATTCAAAATGATTACACGCATTTTTAGTTTTTGAAATATGCTTTTTCTAGAGGGTATAGTATATTTGACATTAATGTTAAAAAGTCTAATAACATATTTTTGTTATTAGTTGTCTCATTTTGCTTCTTAGTTTTGCATGAAAGAAAATATTATTGCCTTTCGGCCATAATTGAGAAATAAATTCGTTGGTTAATATCTATTTGAGTATGTATAGTTCCGTTTTGTATAGACGATGGCAACGTGTAAACTATATGGAATCGTTCATTCTTTGTATTAATTAAAAAAATTTTTCTTCTTTTTGTTTCGAAATCAAATCGATATCTCGTTTAGCGTATGTAGACAGAAATCTTTTTTTCTCTAAAGTGTTTCTTCATGCAGATAATAAATAGACGACGTATAAAAGCGTAATAATGATGAAGAGTTTGTTCTTTTCCTGTGATTGTTAAACTAATAGTATTTTTATTTTTTGGTTGAGGAAGACTAATTGTTACTACGTATACTCAAACACACACACAAATATTCAATAGCAAAGGTGTCATTTCTATAAATATCATAGAAATAGTAAAAAAACAGGACACATACACACATACCCAGGAGGTTAGTGGCAATCCTAATGAACATACAAAAAAGCAGAACATATTTTACTGATGAAGAATTTGTCTTTGTATCTTTGTGACTACTAAAAGAAAAGAAAGAATAACAAAATTAAAATAAGAAGAAATACTATGTAATTCAATTGTGTACGTCTGTATGTCTAACGGAAATCTATATGGTATGTTCATTAGATAGGTCCACTTTAATAATGAATTATTATTATTGTTCTTCAAATATTCATGAGTTTATAGTACTAAACATTTTCTTTTTAATTTTAAACCAATTAAATTTCTTTTTAATTCAGTGTTAAAAGAATTTTAACATTGAGTAATCGAAATTTTTCTTTTGAATACATCATACAAAACAATTGCAAAGTCATGTAATCATTACTTCAGCAAATATTCATGAAGATAAATATTTCAACTGCTAATAATACTTTTTTGTTATAGCATATGATAACATTCTGATTGGTTATTGGCATCTTGCTTTCTATAAGAAAAAAAACTCATTTACAAGTCTAATAATTGAAGATTAGATCAATTTTAATACTCAAGAGGTTTCTTGGTTTTTCCATCGACGAAAAGGGGCAAAGGCCTCTTCTGAAAATATTTGGTTAACTAACTTAAATATAGAAAAAAATGACTGGTGTAACTAAACATTTTTATTTTAAATAAGATATATAGGCGTTGGTTAGCTACGTGGTTCAATCAGTAGTTTTTCTTTTTCCTTTTTCCCAATTAAGAAAAAAGAAAGGGGAAGAAAAAGGTTATTATTGTTTTAAGATTCAACTGTGAGTTGAATGTCGATTATTATGTATTCTCTTATACTTCTTTTGCTCATGTTTTCGATCACATTTTTTTTGACATTTTTGTTTTAGGTTACAATTTTATCTGACATAATCATATACAAATCATAATACGAATCTTTTAATGTTTATCCAACAAGTTCCACGTTATCATGCAAGATAGTGTATCGGAAATAGCTTTAAAATTTTACAGAAATACAACAAAAGCTACCATTCTTGAAACACCAGTTTATACATTCGTTTTAGCGTGTATTGGTTTTACATTATTAATATGTTTAACGGTAGTTGGCAACACATTTGTACTACTAGCTCTTTATCTTGATAAACGCTTACATTCAACATCATATTATTTAATTGCCAATATGGCCACAGCTGATCTTCTATTAGGATTAGCCGTATTACCATTTTCATCGGTATTAGAAATTCTAAATGGAAAATGGATATTCGGTACAAGTTTTTGTACAGCATGGTTAGCACTCGATGTTTTATGTTGTACAGCATCTATTAATGCATTAATGGCCATATCGATTGATCGTTATATTGGTGTTACACGTCCATTAATTTATTCACAAATAATGACGATAAAACGAACAATTATATTGATTATAATTGTTTGGGCTGCGTCTACATTGACATCTGTTGTACCATTATTTGGTTTGACAGATCCATGGAAAATGGAGCCACCACTGCCAAACAATGAAACATCAAATTTATCATCAATGCTCAGTTATCCACTTAATCGATGTGAAGTGAATAAAGATGCTTTGTACAGTATATTGTCATCTTTAATATCATTTTATATTCCTGTTATTATTTTACTTATATTATATTCACGTGTTTATCAAGAAGCAAATAAACAATCTAAAAAATTAGAAAATGATAAACGTCGAATATATAATATTGATTATCAAATAGCATCATCACAAGTACAAATGGCAAAACAACAAAATATATCATCAGATGATTCTGATCATATTCAACAACATCATACGAGTTTAAAATTAGCTCAAAATAAAAAACAAAAAGAACGACGTCGGTCATCATTACAAATGATAAGGTTTAGTTTAAATGGTGAAGAACAAACAACTTCTCTGTTAAATAACAACAATAGTAATAATAATATTTTGCATGAACAACACGATGGTGATGATGGAAGTATGCAACGAACAATAACAGCAACTGATGGATCAAATAAGTCTCCGAACTTAAAAGTAAGTTTTCAAAATGATAATTTTTATTATTATTGATTTTTCTTTTTAATTTTAGAATCATACTACTAACGACACATCGTATAATAATTCACGTCCACATCCAAATCCTTCAGCTAGTCGTCCTATCAACAAATGTCCATCGACAAATTCAGAACGCGGTGGTAGTGGTAACGCATTTATATCACAGAATGATGAACTATTAATTATCAAACGAAAATTACATAATTTAAAACGTGAACAGAAAGCATTTCGTACATTGGGACTTATACTTGGGGCACTTCTCATATGTTGGCTACCATTTTTTGTTACTTTGCCTACAATTGCTATATTGAAAGCTCTAGGTATGAGAATTAATGAAAATACATGGTTTAAAATAACATTTTGGTTGGGCTACTGTAATTCAGCATTGAATCCGTTTGTTTATGCATTCTCAAATCGTGCTATCCGACGTTCATTTCAACATGTATTATTTCGAAAAATTTGTTGCTGTACTCGTTTGTGTTGTTGTTGTTCAACATCACTTTGTCAACAAAAACGGCAAAAATTTTCACCGAATAATCTAAATAATTCGATAACAACGCAAACATCAATAAATACGACTCGACTAGATAGTATATTGACACACGACCATGTTCCAACTATGAAATCGAATGGTACACTGAAAACAAAAATATCATCACCACCGACTCAACCAAGTCATGTGTCATTTGCTGAAATGTTGGCCGCTGGAGATGATGATGCTCCACGTGAAACAGATGATGCATCATACAAATTAAATCACAAATCGTTAACCGTACCATCGAAAAAAAAACGTCTAAAAAAATTTTTGCATATACAAGAGCAAGAGTAATTAAGGTCGGTTCGATTACTAGCATAAAAAGAAATAATGAATCCATGTGTAGCAATGGTATTAGTTAAAAATGTCTATAATCTGATAAAAAAAATCTTATGTTAAGAATAACAGATACATAATTTGAAAATTTTGAGAAAAATCAGTCGTCAGTTGTCAACCAGTGAAGCAGAAAACAAAGTCGTACAAAAAATTTTCCCGGTAAAAAAGAGACGATAAATTAATATCATTGTTTTCTCATTAAATTTATCTGATTATAGTCCTAAGTACGATTACAAAGAATACCGAGTCTTACATGTTCGAAGACTAATGGAACATGTTCTAATATATAACGAGCACATGGTTTTCACTTGTGAAATAAAACTTAACAAGGCTTAATGATATACAGAGCTTAAAATGCTGTTTTAACAAAGATCTTAAGAATTCATTTAAATGACATAATCCGGTGAGTATAACTATTCACGGTAAAAATATTGCATGCACTGTTGTTGTTTTGAATTAATATTCATTCCATTTAAAATTTGTTTTTATTTTTCTTTACTATATGTTTTTTCAAATAAAAAAAAATGAAAGAGTATTTTCTTATTTCAGAACAATAAGAGAGAACTATCATCGGTGATATTATTTAATTTAATTCTCGTGGCAATTAGTATGTAGTTTTTTAATAATAAAAACGATCTTTTTTTGTTTCTATTTCCTATAAAACTATTATATTTCTATGTATTTTATTCTTTTCTCTATTTTTTACACATCCAGTCACACATATACATTGTTTTTTTGTATAGATAATTTTTGTTCAATACTGATAAATATATAGACAATTCTAATGTATGAATATCAAACATCTTCAAAACATTTTTATATAAAACAAATGAGTAAAAAAAAACAGTCGTTTGTTAGAAAACAAGAGGTGACATAACATACTACCTTATGCTAACGGAACAATCTCGCTAACTATTTTAAACGCCACATGAAAAATGAGTAATCAGCGTACTCATGTTTTTTAAGAATCTTTCTTTACTAATGGTTTCAACTTGAGTAAGATAAAACAGATCTATTTCTTTTTCACAACTCCACTTTCACCGTATAGCTATAATTGTTTTATTTTCCTGTAATGGGTATGTCAAATGATGTTCTAACATAGCCTAACTATTTTTGTCATCATCCCTTTTCCTTTCACACACTTAAAAGTAATGTATGCAAGATACGATACATTCTGCAACACCAGTACTGTGGCACTAGATACCAAGAACTGAGTCTGGCTTAAATTTTCTAGTCATTTCTTAAATTTTTATAGAAAATTCGGTGATGTCACTTAGAAGTTGATTGTTCGAAATTGATTTGAAACTTTACAAGATCGAAGAGGTCTCGATTCAAATTTTGGATTTTTACGCAAGTTCTATTGGTCTTTTCATTCTTTTCATGGGTAGAGAGACCAGAGTATGCTCTTCGAAATGAGAGTCAAGCGAGACCTTGAGTTTTTTAGCCGTTTAGAAGTGGTATCGAATTTTCTTCGAGCCACAGGATTAGTACTCAATAACATCGAACAGCCTTGAAATTGTATGGAACATACATAATCGACAACGTGATAGTGTTTGGTTTCGGAAAAGAATTCCAAAACCTGGAAAAAAATCGAGTTTTATGAAACTGAGATCTCTAGGTGTTGTTTTCACCTAATACTAAAAATTTCATAATTCACTCAAAAAACATCGGAATCAGTTGAAAACTTCCGAATGTAGAAATACGTATGCTATTCTATATTCAACTGATGGTAAATTTACAAAAATCCTGTGGTTTTCCGAAAGGACTTCTAAAAAAATTTTGGACAAAAGTGTGGATTTTCAATTTTTCCAGTCGTATAAACACGTTCAACGCACAAAATCAATCATATCCTAAAGTTTTCAACTGATTCCAACGTTTTTTGAGTAAATTGTGAAATTTTTTAGTATTAGATGACAACAGCCTGGAGATCGCAGTCTTCATAAAGCTCAATTTTTATCAGATTTTATCAGATAATGTTAATATTAATATTAAAATATTAATATTAACATCCGAATCATAAGAAGTTCTAACAGTGTTCGATTGTAGCAACTTAACATTTTTAGGTTAGACTAAAATGTAGATGAAAGTAGAACTAAAAATATTTTCGTTCAAAATTCAAAAATTATTTCACGAAACTGGAAAATACTGCTGAGTATTGTTGAGTGACTTATCGTTATTCTCTTCTGATCTATGTTTGACAAGTCTATTTGTCTATTCAGACCTTTATTTCAAACACATCTCTTTGAACGGTCTCACAATTCCACAATTAAAGAAACATAATCTGATATTCACCTATTTGGCAAATAAGCCATTTGTTTTCTACAGAAAATAAACATCAGTAATAACGATATGCAACTCGTCGATTTTTTATCATTTTAAAAGAAATATAAAAA